ATCACTCATTATTTATGCATATATCAATCCATCTATATGGCCACAAGGCCCCCATTATCGGGCAAACAACGACGGAAATTCGGAAAAAAACCGCGCCCAGAAAAAAATATGGAAGAGAGAAGGGTGGTGGGGTGGGTGGGTATCAAAAGGGATATTCAGGGACGCACCTGTCTGTCTGTCACATCACATATTTGTTTGGCTAACACCCGCGCGCACACACTCACAAGAGAAAGGGCCGGCGCCTGTCGTTATTCCATACAATTTTATCAAAATTAATTTGTCAAACGTTCACCGGCGCTTTGCATGTGTATAGGAGGTGTATTGTGTATGTGTGGGGTATTCTCTCTATCACCTCCCCTTACCCTCTCTAATGACAACAATAAGTTGAATGAATTTAATGAAATGAGATGTAAACATGTGGACAACTGCGGACAGGCGGCAACAAAAAGAAGCCCTGGGCTAGCAGGGGGGGCTGGGGAGGTGGTGGGCCCACCGGTGGGGACCCTGGCCATTGTCTATATTCCCTTTCGTTCACTCCATCTTTCACCACTCTGGATCCCCTTCTGTGTTCAGCATTTGCTTGTTTTCGAACTCGTAATGAAATTCTTGAGTAGAAATTCATTTTGCAACTTTTACTCAAACAATGCTCATTGAATAATTTACGCTCAGCGCCGGCAGAAATGAGATACCCAAATGAAATAGAAGGAAATGGGATTGGGATGGGGATGGGGATGGGGACTGGGAATGTGGTTGGGGATGCACTGCAGCAGTGCTCCACTTAGTGCGCGCTCCATTCCCCTGGCACTTGACGTGCTGAGAGAACCCCGAGCCAGAACCAGAGACAGAGGCAGAGCCAGACCCAGAGCCAGAGCCAGAGGCAGAGTCAAAGCGAGGGTCCGGGTCGACGCAGCGCATAATTGCATTAGCCCCGTGTTGGATGATGGGGCTCCCGTTAGCAGGCCCCGACCTTTGGGCCACCCTTTGGGGGCTAATTTAATTGTTTTGTGTATTTAGCCTGGACATTGCATTCAAGTATCACAAAGGGACACCGAACGTTGTGTTACCTCTTTTTCCTTAATGGGCCAATCAATGCACCTCTCACTCTGGCCGTCTCGACTTGCACAAAGTTCCTGCCTCATTTGCCATTTGACAGGCTCAAAATGCAAATTGCGGGCAATTAACATTCAAGCGATTCAGGCACGAACCAACTGGAAGGCGATTGTGAACCGCAACCAGACATCTTAGCCGGGCTAATTGTGCTGCCAACTAATTGAGCTCGGTCCCCGTCCAAGTCCCGGTCCCTGGCACCGACTAATGTGTCACCATTTGAGCTCCAGCTTTATAGACGATTCTTTTCGGAAAAGTGGAAAACATTACTGGGAACTCGATGGATTGGTTGAATTTGTTTATTGTAATTTTAATTCATCATTTCATTTATATGTATATGAAGCTAAAACAAGGAAATCCACGCTGTTACATTAAACGATTTGGAGGGGAGCTCTCTTTGGATGGCAGACAGCATTTATCAGTTCCTTAGTTCTGGAAACCATTTGCCCGAAGGCGGACAGTTTATGACAGTTTTCGGCTTTGTTTGTGTCTGACTTGGTCTGGCTGGGTGGTGTTGCTGGGCATGATGTAATCGGAGGCAGCAACTTGCAGTAGCACCATCACCAGCAGCACCAGCAGCACCAAAAGTACCAGCAACAGCCGCCAACTGCTTACAAAATAATTGATTTTGTACACATCCTTGACACAAATAAACAGTCGCCCTGCTCCGACCTGCAATGCTACGGCCGGGGCTGCGGAACCGTCCCTGCAGTAGTTTAACCAACATAAGGGCGGTCGGGCCAACTGCACACACACATATGCACATACATAGGTGTGCGTGTTCCATAGAATTTCGTATTAAATTCAACAAAGGCAGAGGTTGTTTTAATTGAATTGGAGGGGATTGAAACCGAAACTGAAACTGGAGCTAGCTAAGAGTTGAATGAAACCAATACAAATTTGTTTGCTGTTTTCTGTTTTCTGAGTTGCAATTTCCACTCCAATCCTACACTCCAGAGCTGCAAAAAACAAATGGCAGAGCAAGAGCAGTGGATCATAAAGCGGAGCGCAATAAAAGGTAGCAAAGGATGCTCGACATGGAGATTACTCTGGACAAAGAGGCGATTACGCGACATGGAGAAGGCAAAGCTTTGAATTGTACCAAAGCAGGACTATCTTACAACCAGTGTATCGTGAAGTGAGATCCTGCCACTTTCCAGCGATCAGATGAACATGGCTTTTCCTTCACACTCTCCTGCTACTCCACTGGCTAACTGAGCCACAATTCGAATCGCACTTGGCAAGCACTCGTGGCAGGTCCTGAGTGCCACAGCAGCCATGCCTCACTATGCATTGTAGCCACGCAGCAGGGACCGGGACAGACTCCCTCCGTCGTAAGCCCTCTAAGGCCCTGGCCCAGCACTCGACACGAGTGGGGGACAGGACAGGCTGGCACTGCCGCTGCTGCTGCCGCCGCCTCTGCAGTGGCATCAACACATCAACAGGCCACAGCCTGAATGCTGCCACTTGCCATTCGCCTCATCATAAATTCTGCACTGGCTCTTGCAAAGGACTCTGAGGCAGGACATTCTCGAAAGGGAGCATTAAGGGGGCAGTCGAACGGGGGAGTGATGGCTGGGAAAGGGCTTTGTCCACTCCTGACATGGAAATTGGAGAAATGTTTGCTAATTTGCAGCTCTAAACCAGCCGGAATTGCCCCGGGGACAAGGCCAAATTAAAATTGTTTGAGAAAATCTCTGCTGTCACTCGCTGGTGAACAGGTCTTTGCGATGTACTTTGATCCAGATCAGACCTTTGCTCTTTGCTTTCCCATGCTTCATACTCTGTTGAGAAAAAATCAATCAAGGGGAAAAGACAGCAACGGAGATGAGGGCGCTGAATCTAGCGGACCTGTCTATTAAAGAGCTTCCTCTCGTATCTGTCTTGAATGTACAATAATTTGTTATCTTAAAAAAATTTTTCTGCAAGATGAAAATATTTCCGTAAAAGCGGACTTTAAAAGGAAAAAATATACCCCACAAAAACTTGATTTCTAATGTAAAGAGGAGGAGAGCTCCTCCAGTCTGCTGCATCGTTCGTGGAAGGCCATCAAATAGAGGCGATAAGTTGAATTATTTTTCACTTTGCCCAACCACATGCCCAGGCAAGTTCTGGCGGCTGGTCTACTTAAATGCCTTCAAATGGTCTGATTGACTTAATTATTTAATTGCCGGCAGGCTGGCAGAATGACAGACACTTGGCTAGGAAAAGAACTTTCTCTTCTGCCACCTGATGACGGGAAAATCAATAGTCCCAAGTAATTGGAATTCGAGGTTGGGGCTAATTGTTTGTCAGTCAGGGATCAGAGCAACAAATAAAACCTCATTCGATTGCGGCATCTCCTGAGAAGAAAAAAACACAAAAAAACGAAACGAAAGTTTGGCCAATTTCAATTCAATTAAATTTGCATTTGGGCAAATGGCAGTTGCAAGAATACATTAATAAATATTAAAATCTGAATTAGACTTGGCAGAGCCAATTGAGTGTGGAGAAGGGAAGAAGGGAAGTGGAGACGGGTAGAAGTGGAACAGCAGCGGAATTGCATTCCATAGGTGAGTGGTTAGCAAGGATTTTTGGCAGACAACCAAAAAGGAATAAGACCAAAAAAAAAAGAGAATCAATTTGAAAGGGCCCGATGGATGGTCTCTCTCACTCTATATCCTTCTTCTCTCTCTCTCTCTCTCTCTACCTCTCTATCTCTTTGTCTCTCTGTCTCACTCTGCCACAATTGCAAAGGCATTTTCGTTGATTTGCAGCTCGTTTTTGTCAGCTGCCAGCACAGGCAATAATGACGACGATGATGATGAAACTGTCGTGGAATCTGAAGTGGTCCTAGCTGGGGGCCCCGCAATTGTCACAAGGAAAATAACGAAGAAAAACTGAAAATCACTTTTTCCTTTGGCAGTTTGAGTGGCAAGCCAACAAGAGAAAAGTGCCTGGCTCGATGGCGAGAAACCCCCCTAATAATAATAGTATAAAAACGCCTTTGTTCGAGCTTCCGTTTCCCTCGGCAAAAGTTAAAGTTTCCGCCTGCTAAACTTAACATCTACATAATATCTTGAAAAGCAAAATAGTATGGCACACAAACAGCCATAAGCTTTTCAATTTTAGTACAACTTAAAAAATTGCATACATATTCCAGGGTTTAATCAAATTTTTTCTCATCGATGAATCGCTCGCAAAAGTAGGCAATGAATTTTAATTCATTTCGCAGCGGGTAGCCATACAAGCCATAAATCTATGAGCATGCTTTTTGCAATTCTCGCAGAAGTCGACAACAAATCTCTTGGAAGCAGTTTCCGCAGGTTTTAGTTCTGCTGAACTTTCTTTGGAAATAAAAGGCGAAGGTTTAGGGCCAACAACAATTGACACAGCTTTCAATATTGCCGAGTCGAGGTGGCCAGGGACAGGGACAGGGACAGGGACAGGGACAGAGGGACCCCTTCAAGTCGTTTGGCAATAGGAATCCCTTGAAATGCATACAATTTGTACATGTATTTGAGTACGTCTTTGTGGGTGTTTCACCCGCCGCCGCCCCCCCCTCCCCCACCTGTTCCTCACGCTCTGTTTGAGTGTGGGTGAGTATTTGTATGCACTTAAGCTGTGCATTGTTGTCAATTTCTTGACAGTTTGAGTGAGTGGGTGGCTGCAACAGGGAACCAAGGACACAGCAATCCCTGTCCTGTAGCCGGTTGGGTGGAGGGCAGCCTACATAGCCGTGATGCCCGCACCAAGTACGGAATTGATTGAGGCTTGCGCTCAAGGCCATTATCCCGAAGAAAATACCAAAGGGATGCCGTATAATTGTACTTCCCTGCTTCTGGCTACGGAATAATGTAGAATAAGGGGCAAATTAAAGTTCACAGAGTGTCCTTGGGGGTGTGGGGACTCACCTGCAAGTCGGTGCCTGTGCCCGGCTGTGCCAGATCACAGGCTGATATCCAAGGATTAAGGCGTGTTAATGAGGACGCAGTGCCGAGTATGCTCTTCTTCAGCTCCACGGGGTCTGGCAGGGATCTTGCTGTCCCGCCTCCTGCTGTTCTGGCTTCTGCTGCCGCTGCCGCTGACCCGGCTACGGCCACTGCAGCGGTGGCGCTAAAGGCGCCGCCGGACCAGCTGTTATCCTTGTGACCAATCAGCTGAGCCGCCTGGGCATCAAGGATGTTGCCGGTAGCTTCTCTCTTGTTGTTATTATTGTTGTTGCTGTTGCTGTTGCTTTTACTGTTGCTGTTGGTGGAAGGAAACTCCTTCGGGCTGTTGTTGTCGCTGTGCTGCAGGACACTCTCATCAATCAGGCTGCTCTCGTCCCGCTGCTGTTGCTCAGGCTCCGTCTCCGTTTCTGTTTCTGTTTCCGTCTCTGTCTCGGTATCCGCCTCCAACTCTTGGACTGGCTCGTGCTGTTGCAGATGCGGCTGCTGCTGGATATTGTAATCCTCTTCCGTGAGCTTATCCTCCTCGTCCACGTCCTCGTTGAGCTTTATCAAGCGATCGAAGGACTCTTCGGAAAGCAAATCGTCCTCGGCCACAAGGGCAAAGATGTCCTCGTCCTCGTCTAACGCTTGTGAGGATGAATACTGCACTGGCAGACCGCTTTCCTCTGGCTCCTGTTCGGTCTCCTCCTCCTCGTTGCTGGACTCAGTCCTCGTTCCCGTCCCCGTTCCTGCTCTCGCTCCACTCCCTGTCCCTCCAGCCCTGCCAACAATATCGCTACTGAGGCTGCGCTCGCGTCGCCTTCGACGCTGTAGCCTCGCGCTGAGGGCCTCGGTGCGGGCACGCGGATCGTCGTGGTCGTGGGCGTGCTGGTAAGTGGGTGGCAGCTGGTAGATGGCCTGGGGCGTGGGCCGACGGTACAAGTCGAGATGGTGGGGCAGAAAGATGGGCAGCAGATATGAGCCAGAGCTGCTAATGAATGACGACGACTCGCCTCTGGACGGTAACGCAGTTCCAACTCCTCCACCTCTGTGACCTCCTCCCAGTCCACCTCCACCTGGTCCACCTGCTTCTGTGCCTGCTGCAGTTGCTCCAGTTCCTCCAGTTCCTCCTGCTCCTCCTGCTCCTACTGCTGCTGCTCCCGCTGCTCCTGCTGATGTTGTTCCTATTGATGTGGATGCTGTCGTCGTCGTCGTCGTTGAGCTGATGCTGCTGCTGCTGCCACGCCGAGCCCCCGAAATAAACGCAAGCGCCATCACGACCAGCCCGGGTCCTGGCCGCATATTGACCTCGGGTTCGGCGGTGCTAGCATGGTGCAGGCCCGCTTGAGACGCGCTTGCGACTCCAATTCAATGCGAGTAATGATGGGCTCATGGCCCCATCATCATCAGAAGTGTGGGATTCGGATTTGGTGTGCTCAGATCCAGCTGCGGCCGCTGCTGCTGCTGCTGCTGCTCCTGATCCGTATCCGTATCCCGATCCGACGCCAGTATCAGTGCCTGCTGAACAGATCTGCTTCTTGCTGCTGCTCCTGCTCCTGCACCTGGTTCTTCTGCTGCTGCTACTTCGGCTCTGACTGCTGCTGCTAGAGGCATGAATCCTGACCTGGCTGAGCTCTCCTCAAGACTCCGAACTGTCCGAACAGTGACCCCTAAGCTAAGTCCCGCTGCTCTCCAGGCCGCTGGATCGCATTCAGTTAACCTCGGCTGCAGGGGTTATTTGGTATGGGGGGTATCCTCGGCTCATGTTTGACACAAATATATTTTGGAACTTTTCATATATTTTTCACACGTTTTCTTGCACGTTTTACTTTGCACACGTTTTACTTTGGGGACTGACTATCAACTATTTGTGGAATTTTATTAGATAGCTTATGGGTTATGGTTATGGCAGCTGTTATTGATGGTGTTGTTGTTGCTTTTGTTGTTGTTGTTGTTGTTGTTGCTGTTGTTGTTTTTGTTGTTGGGGCTGCACATTAACCTTGAAATTGGAAATTTGTGGAAATTCGGTTGCTTCGTTGAATTGGTTTTGGGCTCACATAATTATTTAGAAATCTGCACAGACATAGAGAAATTGTTGTTACAGATTTGTTGTTAGGGCTCCTCTTATATTTAGCGGCTAAACATTATCGAATATTGTTTGCTTGACAACCTATCCATTCTTTTGGGGTTATTTTTGGGCTAGTTAAAAAAAAGGAATAATTGTTTCAAAAATGGTTTGTGCGCTCACGCTCTTAGCTCCCCAAAAGCGCTCTGCTTTTTTGCTCTCTGCCCTGGCTCTCTCTACCTCTTACTCCCACTTTTTGTTAATTTTTGGGAAAACCCCTGGGAAAATGCTCAGGAAAAATAATTGGTAAGTATTTTCAGAACATATTTTTAACTATAGTTGGCCAAGATTCTGCTTTTCTTTCTTGGGTTTTCGACTGTTTCTGAATAGAAATAGTTGGAAGGAAATGGAGCGAGAGCGGGAGCGGGAGCGATGCGATGGAGCGAGAGAGAGACTAGCTCTTCGTTTAGCCGAAGCTCTGGCCCGAGCAGCGCAGCCAGCCAGCAGCCAACGCGAACACCGCACAAAAGAAAGCCGAAAAAAAATTGTCGTGGAAATCCCGTATATCTAACACACTCACACACAAACATAGAGACACAGAGCGCAAAGAAATTTATATAATTCGCAGCCAGCGGCTGCGGCTGCGGCTGCTGCTGCTCCTGCTGCTGCTCTGCTGCTGCTCGCTTTTCTCTGTTTCTCTGCTTCTGGCGCTGCAAACACAAAAACAGCGGATGGACGGATCCCCATCCACGAGCACAACGAGAATGAGAATGAGAATGAGAACGAGAACGAACTCGTGGGTGTACGTGTACGCGTCTGCCTCTCTCTCGCTGAGAGCTTGCATGCGTATGTGTGTGAGTAGTTACTTAGGGCAGCCAGGCAAGCACTCCGCATGCCATTTTTTGTAGTAGAAGAAGACGAAGAAGAAGAAGAAGAAGAAGAAGTTGGGCGAGAAGTAGAAGGAGAAGGCAAAGGCAAGGCAAAGAAGCAGAAGCCGAGTAGCCCTCATCTCGTATTTGGGGTCGTCACTGTAGCCCTTCTATCCTAGTATTGGTGGTAAGATTGTCCATGTGTCGCCCCCGCTCTCTCTGTGCGTGTGTATGTGTGCGTTAGTGTTGGTGCTAAAGTCCAAGAAGTACAAAGCGCAGCATATTTAACAAAAACAAAAAAAAAACACATGAATCTGAAATCTTTCCCTCTCCTGTTAACCATTTGGTTTTTTTTTTTTTTTTGCTTAGGATAAATTCAATGGAATCCTTGAGATCTTTTGGGAGGATTTCGCCTGCGTGTGTATCACAAAGGAAATCACTTTTCTTTGTTGATTACGGTTGTATTATTTAAATTCTTCTTTGTCCCCTGACCCCCGAGGTTCCTGTACTCCACTCCGCATTTTGTTGCTCCCGATTGGAGTGTGTCTTCTTCTGCTTTCTGTGTGTTAACTTTCACTTTTGTTTTATTTGCTGCGTTGACACTGCGCACACACACACACACTGAGAGACACGCACACACCCATGTGGAGGTGTATGTGTACAGGGAATTTCTCTTTATTTTTTTGGTGGTGCGTGTGCTGCTGCTGGTGCTGGTGCTTTTGGATCCATTCAGTACAACTGCCGCTTATATAAGCCCGGAACGTAGCACAAGACTCTGAAGCATTTGTCTCGATTCCGATGAATCGGTCTATACTATTCCCGGGATAGTCTGAGCGACTTAGGCACAAATGCTGAACAATATTGGTTAAGGTTTGATTTTCTCATTATATAACAATCGGGGGGTTTTCGTTGTTTTTAGACCGTTTCACGGGTGGTGAATGTTCCCCGGGGAAAGTTGGGGGAAGGCTCTCGAGTTACCGTTACCGTTACCGTTACCGTGGCCGTGCCCGTGCCCGTTCCCGCACCGAACAATACACTAACTATATACTGATGTACCTATGCTTGTACCTATATAGTCGTGTATATAAGGCAGTGTGTGTGTGTATGGGTGTTCTTCCCAGAGCGCAGCATCAACTGCCGTAACGGTTCGTTCGCGTGTGGGCGGGGACACGGCAGGTTGGGGGCGTTGTAGGCAGTGCTCGAGAGTTATGCTTGGCTTAGCAGATTTTCTTGGGTTTCTTTCGTTTCGTTTCTTTTCTTTTCTTTTCGCTCTGCTCTGCCCTGCTCCGCTTCCCTGCTCCTCCTCCACCCTTTTTCCTTTTACCCCACCAACTAGACTAGCCCGATTGGCAGTTCTCGAGTCATACTATATTTTATCCCGTTTCCCGTACACATTCCGGGGGATTTGCACTTTGATTTCTTCACTTGCGGCTAACACGAAGACATTTGATGTGGTCCTCTGGGGTGCTTTTCTTTTCTTTTCTTTTCTTTTCTTTCTATTTTTTTTGTTTGGTATTATTTGATTCGATTTGATTTGATTTTTCTTTTCTTTGTGTGAGTGGTGGACGCGACGACGCAGGATATATACCGTACAATCCTGCTTCTTGCTGATGGCCCCAAAGCACTGACTGTGCCACAATTGCAGATGGCGTTTAACTGGAATACCGAGCGAGCCGCGAACCTCGAACCGAACCCGAAAGCTCCACGAGCGAGCGGACGAGCACGAGTGGGTGGCCGCGAAATCAGCAGCAGCTGACAAGAGAGAGCCGGACAGACAGCGTCGTGTCGACTCTCTCTTCTGCTAGCGCGCTCTCTCGCTCTCGCTCTCGCGCTCTTTTTCCGGCTGTTTCGAACTTCCAGGCTGCGCTGTACAGGATGTTGGCTAACAGCAAGCTAACCCTAACAGCAGCGCCTTCGAACTCTATTCGGACGCCAGTTCGAGTTGAAGTAAGAAAAATTACTTGATGCAGGACACTTAATCACACTGCCCCAAAGAGAGAGGCACCCAAAAAGAGGGAGTCTAAAACTCGCTCAGGAGCCACCCGTTCCACTCCACTCGCCTGCGGCCTGTGCTCCGGTCCCATCCCGTCCCATCCCATCCTGGCTTTTGCCTTGGTTTCGGTTTCTTTTGCTTTTGCTTTTACCTTTACTCAAACTTTTGCTTTTGGTTTTTCGCTTTTTTCGCTTTTTCCCTTTCCATTTTGTTGTATTTTCTGTGGCATTTCGTTACGGCGTTTTGTCGTCGTCTCACTTGGCCTAAATGTGTAATACCCTATAATGTCGTTTAATCCCACTCAGCGTGTTTTAGTTTGGTCTGGCAGCTGACGGGAAAGTCGGCCAGTGGATGGGATCGTAATTACCCATTGGTCCTGGGCAGGTGGCCCAGGAGATCGCATCGCATCGGGAAAGTGGAGCATCATGAGGCACCATCTATGGCACTGGCACGGACACGGGCACTGGCACTCGCTATTTAAACTGTTGTGCCAATTAGAAGTAATCCAATATGACACTACCCACGCGGATGACTCGCGCTGGCTCGTTGACTGTTCAAATGCGGCAACTGGGGCAAGCCAAGGCCAGGCCGACCTTCGAGCAGACACTCGACAGCAGCAGCAGCAGCAGCAGCAGCAGCAGCAGCCACAGCTCTGGCAGCAGCCACTCACTCAATAGTGTTGGATGAGCGGAGCGGAGGTGGAGGTGGAGGTGGAGGCAAGGGTTGGACAGTTGATGCCTCTGCCACTTGAATTATTAAGTTGGCCTTTTTTTTTGGTAATTAACTTAAGTAGCCGCGACTACAAATCAGAGGGAGGTCCGGCTTCGTGCCAGCATTAGCCACACCCCATCCGATCGGGGGAGAAGTGGAAGAGCACAACAAAAACTCGGAGAACGGCAAAGCGGAAAAAGGGAATTAGGGGAAACTAGGGAAAATCCCACATCATTTGGCTGGGAGAGCAGTCTGCCTCAATTTATGCGCATTCCAATCAATAACTGTGACACATGCAATCAGCAAGGACAACAAGGACCCACCCAGAAGCACCACCAGCAGTACCAGCAACAAGGCGAGCGAGAGAGTGAAAGTGCTAAGATATGCTGAAGAGGTTGCCGCTGCCGTTGCCGTTGCCCTGCCCGGCAAGGGGACGGCCACTGCCGTTGCTGGCTTGGGCTTGTGCTTGAGTTTGTTCTTGTTGTTGTTGTTGTTGTGGCATGGATATGAATGTGTCGTCAACTTATGCGGGCTCACAACCCACCCACACATACACAGACACACTGGCACACGCACACTGTGGCTCTGGCCAGCTGTGTGTGTCGGTGTGCTCGCTGAAATTGATAAGAAAGAAAGCTTGCGGCTCAGAATCCTCGAGGGCCTT